GATTCCATACACTAACGAGATTCGGTACGGAACATACAGGGCATTATAAGCCGTCGGATCGAACCACGATTTAAATCCAACGGAACAAGAACTAATATGGGAACGGTCATCGCAATCAACGAACTTCGTGCCGTTTTTGCTACTTCTATCTGCTCGTCCTGTCGTTTTTTTGTAGTCAGATGGATGTTGTGAATTTAGATGTGAAGAACACACAGAAAACGGTCGTATTCCTACAATGAAATTTGTTGGCACAGCAAAAGAGGATGTTTATAGGAGAGACTTGACCATACATAGCTTGTTCTACAGCATTAACATTGGCTTAGTAGAAGAAGACCTTACCAAAAGAGAGAGGCATCGATGACCCCAAGTCCGGACGAACTGAGCTACATTTCTGGTGAAAGATTTGGTTTTACTCTGGATTGAAGAACTAAAACAAGCTGCTTCGAGTGCCAAAATAAAGGTTAGCAGAGAGCGGACTGGTAATGAAATTGATTCAATGATATCTCGGAATGGACCAGTTTCAGCAGTAAGTTATCCTTCTTATTTGAAACTATTTAGGGTTGTCTTTGTCTCTCCCTTCATCTGAGCCTGCCTCATCAGTGAACTGTGGCAGCAGCCTCTGCCAAGCCAACTTCAAAGCTACGTTGAACGGCATCAAACACCTGGGCTAGGAAAGTTTGGTGGTGAACAAAGAAGGCTTGCTTTGATGCTGCTCTGTTTCTCCCATTTGGGAAATCCGTTTACAAGGACGATAAGGGCAGATCAGTTCCCGTTGTCAACCACATACATCGTACCACAAAGAGATTCCTATCGCTGATTCGTCTCCTTCAGTTGAAGAATGACTGACAACTGGACAAGCCTGATCGAAAACATTACGTCTCTGCGACATTTCTTCGGTATCAAATTTGTCTTTTGCAGTTAAAAGAAATACGCTGATATAAAGAGGGAGTTGGGAATAACAAGGTGAAGTTTAAGGTTTCATGTCTGTAATTACACTCGCAGGATTTTCACAAGGCCAACAAAGCAGTGCTTCATTGTTGCAAGAAAAGAAGGACAATCATAGGCTGATAATTTGCGTGTCAAGAGAGAGATACGCTCCTAGTAGCTACCTACCTGCAATTACAATGTGCATTACAACATAGAAATTAAACTTCTGCATTCAGAAACAAACATCATTAAACCATCTTTAAGGAGAAAGATTCAGGCTTGCAGCATACACTAGGAAATTATTCATGTTTTCGAGCAGCATACACTAGGATCAGATCTGGACTTGTACACACACAAAACTGACCTTAGTTAAGCGACCACAAACTGTAATGATCAAGGACAACGAACAAATAGTACTCATGCCATGTCCCACCAATTGCAGCTACAACAACGACCTGCACCAACATTGTTTTAGAAGGTCAAGAAATATTAATTATACTATTTTGAGAGCGAGGATACAGAGTTAAGTGCCTTTTTATTTCAAGGATGGAGCATAGGGTGCTGGGCATGGAGAGATGGTTGTATCGGGCAACTGATTTAACAAATCAACTGTTGCCCCAAGGCATGCAGCTAGCATTTTCTTCTCCAATCGAACAAGCCGGGTTGCAACTCGCTTCCTAGGATTCAAACTAGGATCTGCCAACTATTGAGCAGGTATTCCATTAATATCATGCAGGACGGCCAAAAATGTGTTTGATATGTTATGTAACAATCACAAAGTCTGACGCTATACCAATGCATCATCTTCTTTAGGAGTAGTAGGGTAGCCAGCCAAGCGTCTCATGAAGTAATTAGCAAGTTGATCTAGCACTGCTCTTTCCATGCAAGGGCTTATCTACAAAAGGAGACTGAGAGTTAAAACTTTCACAAGTGTGCAAAAAGCTCCATGTATAGAAGTAAGTAACATTGGAGGACCTCACATGTAGGGAGGATTTGACAAAATCAAGGATATATCAAAAGATTACTTAGACAAAAAGTCTGCCAGGTCAATCATCCTCTACTTACTGGACAAATTGGACCTTGGGACGAAATAGCCGATTGCATTTCAGAAGGATCAGACATGTAACCCAACCGCAGGTAGGGAAGCATGTCTTGAACAGCTTCTCTTTCTTTTCCCACACGAACCTGACGTGGATGCAAAGCAAAACTCAGGCAAAACATCTCAAAGTAGCCTTGTTGAAATAGGAAAGTCACACGTTCATACCTGAAAAACTTGTTGGGATAATTTTCCATTCCTTTGAGCAACCATTCTCTTGTCCTGATATTGAGGATCCTCGGTGCTCAGTGCTGCCTGAAATGAAAGATATAACGCATAAAACATGTAAAAGTTGAGAAAATCGCATGAAACTACACAGAAGTTTACAGTAAGGCATCAAAGTTTCAGAATTACCTCAACTATTATTCTATCATAAGGGTTATCTTCATCAACGAATCCATAGTTCAGAAGCAATTTCGCATTAGGTTGTGGACCACACCTTGAAATAAAGGACGAAACACAAAAGTAGGAAAGAAAAATTAGAAAGAGAAGGCTAGCGGGCGGGAGCAATTTGGCTCACAGACGCACCAGGCAACTATAGGAACCCCAGCCTTATATGGCCTATCTACCACGAGTTCAACAGCACCATCAACAGCGGTAAGCATCGCCTTGCAGTTGGAACAGTAGGCTAACAAGGGAGGACCAAGAGGAACCAAAGCAAACCGACGAGCCAAACTGACATTCTGAGTACAGGAAGAAGCATAACAGATCTAAATTAGGAGAAGCAACAAGCAACGCCTAACTAGTTGTAGATTCAGCTATAGAATAACAGAAGTAAGACCATATTATTAAAATGAACTCTAGGTATTCTTTCAAACACGGGCTGGACATATGAATTGTGAAGGGGAAGTCCAGAAAGATTGAAAAATTACTTGTAAATGCACCACACAGGACTGAATGGCAACAAATGCCTGTTTGAAAATCTCAAATGAAAAAGCTTCAGTTGGTATGTCAAATGGGTATTGCTGCAAAACAAAAACCACTTGATGTAAGTGCGCTGTCGTTGTTAGCAAGAAGCTGAAGTCTTAGGTAGCAAAAATAGTAGTTAAACACCTGAAACAAAGATCCAGCCATAAACCACACAGTATCAAGCTCCTTGTATTCTCTTTTGATCCCCTCGGCCCGCTCAAGAACTTCAGCCTGGACCAAGTTAAAGAAAATCAACACTGAAAACCCACCAGACTAGTTCATCACATGTCATATGCATATACTAACGTAATACCTTTGTCGGGCTGCCAGTTAGGTATTCTAACTCGGCCTCGGACCACAGCAACGGGGATTCCACATCTAGCTGACCTCGCCCTCGTTGACGATCAAGTTCTCTTATATAAGGATACCATACTGATTTTTTCCCTTGTTTCTTCTCATACATCAAATACAAAGCTAGGCAAGCCAGTTCAGACAACTTGTTTGTCGTCAACAGTTCAGCTGTATATG